AAAGATAATGCCTCTTCCATCAACTCAACATTTATCCGAACATGTCGATTACCAGCTGCTCTGTCTTTACCTTTAAGTTTTTTTTCCTGAGCAGCCCCAAGTACGTTATCAGTAATGTTGTCACCAACATCCATAAAACCGTGCCAGAATATGAATAATTTTTACCTTCACCACTGGTACCATCAACAATTTCCGTATGTTCTGACACGTACTCCATAGCATCGAACATACCAACAGACATTATTACCCCACTAGTTTCCTTTCATTCTTTGAATTTCAGCATTTTAATTTTCTGCTCAAATGTCCGTTAAAGTTGACCACCATTAGTAGAAGAACTTGGCTTTAGCTTATCAACGCATTGTCAATGTGTCCCGAATCCTTTCAAGGTAAATATGGATTCCATAGAGGATACCAAGACTAGCTAAGATCTCGATGAAAGCACCATGACCAACCTCACCCCCAAAAGGAAATTGAATGCTACAATAAAGAGCATCGCATCATTGATAACTTTTCAGTGACGAATGAAGCAGCAATCGATAGTCAACACAAATATTAACTACCATTATCAACCAGCAGACCTCAAAACCCTTATTAAACAAGACACAACATTCAGCCATGACCCACTAAATAGCATCAGCAGACAAGCAGCAATTGATCTAACTTATAGCATCCTTAAGCACTTACTTGATCAAAAGAAAAAGTACTCCCTCCATTTCAATTTATGTGACGTACTTTGACTTGGCACGGAGTTCTAAAAAAAAAAGACTTTTGAAACTTGTGGTCTTTAAAGCTTAAAAGGTAAAAGTTTTGTGGGACCATAACATTTGTGTGGCTATAAAAGCTTCTCATTAAAGGTAAATGAAAAATTTTAAATTAAATTGTTTCCAAATATAGAAATGTTTTTGAACAGACTAATAAGGAAGTGTGTCACATAAACTGAAACGGAGGGAGTGACAATAACATCCTTAAACGCTTCCTTTGGTTCAGTATCTCTGCCACCAAAAGTCAAGCTTACAACCACCCCCTCTCAAAATTCCCCATTATATTGGAAGCTAAAACACACATGTATAGCAGCAGCATCTTCCAAACCCATCAGACTTCAGAATCTATACATCCTCATATTATTGAAAACAGTCCATCATCCCTCTTCTCAAACACACCGATGGTCTAACCTAGGGACGCTGTTTTTTGATTGGTAAATTTAATTTATTGATATTCAGCAAGTAGTACTTACAAGAGGAAGGCAGGAAGCTACATCACAAATTATGTTATGAACTTAAAAAATCAACCATGGCTTCTCTATCATTTGCAACTGCCATGTTACACCAAAAAAACAATAAAGCTGAACACCTATGTTTAATGCTAATTACACTATTGGCTTATAGCAGACCTAATGTGAGTTTTTTGACATCTCAAATGTTCAAGTGACAAAGCTTATATAGAGATTACAAGGTTCATTGACAAAGAAAATATACAAGGCGTATTAAACAAAAAAGTAGTTTAGATCAGGCATGAGCTTGGACAAAAAAGAAAGAAAATATCAGGCATGAGCTCCTTTCAAGCATGATATACACATTCAACTTGTTTAACAGTTATTTTAATGTTTTCTGAAGGTTCTATACTTTTTGGAACAATGCTTGTATACGGGAGTTTTCCTACATTAATAAAATTATTTATCCTATCAAAAAATGAGCCATTTTACTGTATATTTTCCTTTTCTCTTCAGAGGGACGGCAATGCATTTTTCCCAAATATCATACAAAAGAATGCAGATCCAAAGAGAAAAAAAAGTATACCAGAAAAGCATGAAAACAAAAACAGCATTTCTGTAGAAGTTGTAAAGAACCAAATAACCAACGCGCTGGTAATTCCAATGTCCGTGCACAAGGAGCAATCTTTTCAGAAACCGAAACTGTCCCATAGCAAAATCCGATGCCATCACTGCTTGCCGCCCTTCTTGACCACATATTCCAACACCAACATCCGCCATTTGGATCATTGAAACATCATTAGCCCCTGAGAAAGTTTTTAAAATTAGGTGCAAACAAATCCAGAAAATCATCCCATGAAATGCATCTTGCAAAACACCGATATAACACACACGAATAAACCTTAAAACATGAGTACTTAAAAAATAACCGCAAAACCTTATATGCACAAATCATATAATTGTGTTCCTCCAACAACCAACAAAAATTGACATAAGATTTCCCTTGTGCCGACAAGGCATTAGATATAGCGAACTCACCATCACCTATGGCTAGCGTCATATCATCTGTGCGGCTCTTTATTAGGTCAACAATTCCAGCCTTCTGCAAGGGCGCAACACGACAGCAAATCACAACCCTACATGATGTCGCAAGGTCGAATAGCTGCGGAAGCATGGCATTAACACATTAGGACTCAAGCTACACAGTAAAAGAGAGGCAACATATACCCGCAAAAGTGCATATTACCACAACAAAGCCTTAGAAGATATGCTTCATACCTCAGACTCGAGATCTTTCTCTAATATGTATACAAGACTATTCCCATCAATTATGAGTGCCAAAGATTCACCAGAAACACCTTCCTCTCCTGCATGCTGCTCTGGTAAATTAGATGACTTCATACTAACAGGAACTTCATGATAACCATTTTCTGCATCGCTCTGACATGTTAAGATTTGATTAAAACAACTTGCAGGCTTTACTCCAAATTTGGTCTTAGCATCAAAAAAAAGTCTCTTGCATTCGTTTTCTGAAGTGCCATTAATGATGATCCGCTGCATGTCTGAGGTCAAAAGTTTGCAAGACATACCAATTGAAATTGCTGTTTCTTGCTTATCTCCAGTAAGAACCCAAACCTTTATTCCTGCTTGGCGCAGAGACTCGATTGCCTCTGGTACGCCTTCTTGTAGTTTGTCCTCAATTGCGCTGGCCCCTAGTAGAGTTAAATTGCACTCAATAAGAGCTGCTGTTTGGCGCAATTTTGCTGATCTATCAGTCAAAGATGTGCTAGCATCTTCATACATGCATTGCCACTCTTCCAGTTCTTCTCCCGTGAGATTCCTTGCAGCAACAACCAGGGTCCGCAAACCTTCACATGAGTACTCATTCAAATGGTTAAGAGTGGCTTTCTGTATGTCAGCATGGCTTTTGTGGTCTTTCCTTAAAATGCTAAACATTGAAGTATCAGCCCCTTTGACCAAAACTTTTACAGCATTGTTCGGGAATCTAATAACCACAGACATTCTTTTACGCACACTGTCAAACTCATGCAGTCCCAAGACATCCAATCTGCAGCGGCCAATATATCAGTCCACAATTCCCAAGGACAGAGAATGAACTATTGCTTAAAAAAGATTTACCACAACTAATTACAAATTAACACAGAAGAAAGCAAGAAAAGAAAAGGCGAAATTTAAGGAGAAAGAGGAAATTATGCTTTGGATGAAAAAGTTCCAGTGTCATAGATAGAATGCATAACATTTACTAGGCTAATCCACATTATTTAGTCAAGAAGTGCTAAATTGTACTCATGTGCAACTAACACCAAATTAGGAAATTTGAGAGAGACAGCCATCTACCTTAGTTTCTCACCATTGGCATCAATCACAATATGACCAGACGTTCGCTCACAAAGTGTATATCCATACGCAGAAGCAGCAGCAACTAGTGCTTGTTCGTCAGGAGATTCACCTTGATACTCAATGGTGCCAACATTGTCATGCACTTCATCCAGTATAGCACGTGACGATGAGCTATGGCTAAGAATAGGAATTACGGTATTACATGCTGCCAACGTCATAAAGAACTCGTGCGCAGCAACCCTCTCTTCCCCAGCTAGCTCGGTATGTAACAATTCCATAAGTTCAGAATCAGTAGGAATTTCTGACTTGAGCCTCAATCTTCGTCGACTTGAAGGGGCTTCTGTTGGTTCTGCACAAAAGATTACAGGAGTAATTGACTTGTCTGCAAGACGAGCATAGCTAGAGGAATAGAAACCTCAAAAGAAAAGAATCACGTAAAGTAATGATTTGCACTTCAATATTATTTAATCTGCAAAGATATGTATGACCACAATTTTCTATAATATAATGCATATTATTAACTAGCAGTAGTTAAATAAATAAGCATCATAGACCACATAAGACATAGAGGAGAAGAAATGAAGAAAAAGCAGCGTAATAAGAATTCCATAGTGTTTTACACTAACTATCCAAACAATGAGGACAGTAGACAAACCATAAATCTCATTGTCACTGCATTCTGTTGTCTCTGCTACTTTCCTATTCATGATAGAAGCCTTCAGGAGACTCAAGGAGAAGACAGCTAAAGGGGGTTAGATAAAATATTTCAAGGTTGGCAATAAAAGATAAGGACGGCCATTCACCTATTTTTCACAACTCAAATTAATTTAATTAATATCACAGCAAGACGGTGTTAACAAATATATGTACAACTAAACGTCTAAACCACAATGGTCTACAGATTATCCGAATCATATATACACGTGGGCAATCTCTTCACAGCTAAAGAATACATGAAATAGAACTGATACTTTGAGACATCTCTTTCAATTTTCAGGAATGTTAGAATATCAAGAGAATACGTGTCTAGATTTATACATGTCTGGCTTTATATGTCAAGATTCATCGTATTTGAGAAAGCAAAATCTATAGGATACTTTAGGAGATTCTCTATTTAATTAAAAAAAGTTAACTTACCCTATTAGCATAGATATTACTCCCTCCATCCCATTTTATATGGCCTTATTTGACTGGGCAGCACGGAGTTTAAGAAAGAAATACTTTTGAAACTTGTAGTCTAAATAAGCCATAGGCATGTTGTGTGAAATTTTTCTCTTTGGTGTAAAGTGAGAACTTATTGTAGTTTGATGAAAAAAGACAGTCACTGCATGATATCATCTCTAGGTACAAACTCTTTGAAGCCTTTGGACTACACAACAAAATGATAAAATTGTACAAGATTTGTATAGCTTGTGTGATTGCATTTGACAATGAAAGAGCTCTTTCCGCAATATCTAATAAACCCAAATGTAAGGTAAGGACAGGAACTGCATCAAGCAACGCTCAAACCAACTACGTGGCAGATTGGAGTTTTTGAAGCTGAAGTTATAAATTTGTTATTTAGTCATAGACATCTACTTTATAGTTTATACACTCCATAATGTGAGGTCACAATCAAGAAATTCAATAGGCAGCTGAACTTGCAAATAAAATGTTGATACAAACTCGCGATACAGCGCTATCTAGGGATGAACATTAACCATTTGACATTTCTGATGTAGTGAAATCAAAGATTAACTAACATCAACAATGAAAAAAAGACTACATTCTGCATTTCTATCTCTTTCTTTTAGTTTTTAAATAACCTCCTTGTCATGATGCATAATAGGTAAATATACTATTAGTATTCTATATCATTGACTGTATGTAGACTAATAATGCTAATAATGCTAATGATACAGTAATACAGGTTAAAAGAATCAAATTATGTTTTAAAAGTACATTGTGTGTGATAAACATACCTTCAAAATCTGTGTTTAATGATTCACCTGTAGCAGAAAGGGGTCTCCCATAGTTTTTTCCCCACACACTTGCTCTTTTGAATTCCATCTTATTTTCAGTAAGTGTTCCTGTTTTATCAGAAAAAACATAACGTATCTGACCCAAATCCTCATTGATATTCAAGGATCTGCACTGGAACCTTGAATTACTGTTAGTGTCATACATGTGCCTGTCTCCAATCATGAAATACGACTGTCCCAAGCGAACCAACTCCATGGTGATGTAGAGAGATATAGGTATCATTATCTGGAAAACTATGATGGAACTCAAAAAGGAGAAAAAAGTTTCCATAGGAATCCCATAATATCTATACTTTTTACCATTATGTGTCCCATCAAAGTAAATTTTCCGGTAATAAGGCAGGGTATCAAGCTGCTTCTCGTGTTGCTTCAGCCATATACACATTCCGGATGCTACTACCAAGCACATGACGAAAAGGAATACAGACAACCAAAGGGTTTCCCGGTTCATGTAGGTTTCCAACCTGCTTCTTTTAGAAGGAGATGCTGCACTGTTAAGCATAGCCTTGGTCTCCTGCCCAGCATAAACCGCCACTCCTATTGCCCATTCTGTGTTCTTCAGCTGACAACCACGTAAGATAATGTTTGATTGGCTGAGCGGAAACTTATGCCCATTCAACTCCATGTTGGCTGTGAACTCATAGATATTCCTGTTAGGCTGTTCACATCTGATAACTCCTGAAATTGACTCCACTTCACTGACTAATGAAGTTGTTTCTTGCCTAGCATACCTTGTCTTCAAGTTTGATTCACCATCTAGATTCATTGTTTGGATATAAGCAATCCCACTAGGATCACTTGTTCCTAACAACACCATGTCACAAGGAATCGTCTCATCAGCTAGGATCTTCACAACCTCACCAACCTTAATATTCTTCCATCGTTTTAACTGAAACTTGCCAAATTGAAGTACTAGAGTCTCCCGGTTATTCTCATTCCTGTCTGATCTGTGTCGTCGCCAATCCTCATAACCATCTTTTATAGCAGTCACAGAAAGCACAAAAAGAAGAGGAAATAGAGATACAGTTCTCCCGAAAACAGCAAGTGGTGGAAGCTGATTCAGAGCAGCAATAGCTAAAAAGTATAAATAAGCAACCCGGTGGAACTGAATGAAGAGATTTTTTGGCAAGAAACTTATTATTGTATATTTGCTAGTGCGGATCTCATTTCCAGTGAATTCAAACTGATCATTGGTCTTTTTTGGATCATTAACATGGATCAACCTAGCATTATTTCCATGTAACAAGTCATTCTCCAGCTGCATACTTTTCTGAAGAAGCCTCTGGGATTTGCTTAGCTTATCCTGGACACGAGACGAATCCCTGGACTCATCAAAATGTCCTTGAGATGACGGCCGGGTGGATGCTGCTCTAGATGAAGCCACCCTTGAAATATCACTGGATATTTCAAAGGTCGTTTGCTCGTGTGGATGGTCTTCTGTACCACCCCATGACACAAAGCGTTTTCTCTCTCGTGAGGGGCATTTCGACTGTAGCTCAGTTGTCCCCTTTCTAAGTGAAGAAGAATGCAGCCTAGAATTTCCTACACCTGATATATCATCTAGTGGTTGATTACTGTCCACCACCACCTCCTCCTTCAAATCACATAAATTGGTCCCCGGAGACTCATCCAAATCAGCAGAAGCTGATGCATTCTGGGGGAGACATCCCAACGAGCAGATCCCTAACGATGAATTATTATGATGACGAGGACTTGGTGCAGAAGAAAGCTCAGATGGCGACAGCAATGGCTTGCCGGAAGTCATAAATACACCTCCAATGAAATCACATTGGAGAATATCAAACTAAAACCCCGAGATTAATATTAAACCCCTAATTATCCCCAGATGGACTTCCAAAACGCATATTTTTAACCCCTGTTAGCTGAATTACTTACTTTGGTTTGCCATTGAAATGCCCTATAACCATAATACAAATCATCAACAAGGCCTTGTGTTCAATTGTATCCCAATATTGAGGGGTAGTTCTTTCTTAATCCTCAAAACGCCTTTGATTTTGCAGAAGTCAAGGAAATCCACCAAAAAAAAGATGATTTTTCCCCTGTAAATCTGTAATTTAATGAGGAAAAGAAAAACTGTTCAAATTGAATAAACAGTGATTAACTAGATCTCAAAAAGTGACATAATTGCAAATAAAAAGGATCAAATGCATTAAGCAATACGTAAATTTCCCGATAATAAAATCCAAAAGTGAAAATGACAGATCTAGAAATGGAGATCTCTTGAGTTTAGAATCACATATTGACATCTGATCAGCTTAATTTACAGAACGAAAAACAAAATCGAAAAAACTAAAAGGAAAACGCAAAAGTTAGAACCTGTTTTTATAGGAGAGAATAATATGCTGTCTGAAATTGAATTTTTATTGTTTTTGAACAATGGTGATGAAGACGGAGACGGAGATCGACCGGAAAGAGGAGAGAGAAAGTGTGTAGAGAGAGAGAGTGGAGGAGCAGAAATATTGGCTTTTATTTGGTTTTTCTTTTCTTTTCTTTTCTTTTCTTTTCTTAACTCGTCGGTCTCTGCCCTCCTCCCTTTTCCCCCACCGCTGTTACTCTTTATTTTTATTGAGTTTTATCTGTTTTCTAAACTATTGGAAGTTACAATATGCCCAATAGATAAAAGCACAAGCTCGTACTAAATGACGCAATTAGCCTTTGCTTTCTTCACAGTACCTCGTATTTTTTTTACTAGTCCTATGCTACTACTCTATCTCTATAACCATAATTTTCAAAAAACACATAAATATTATATTGAAATTATACTTGAGTTAAATAATGAAGGGTAAAGGAAAAAGTATAAGTTCCAACTCCCAACTCAAAAAAAGGAAGAAAATATGCCTATAGAAGTCCTTAATCATCTTAGTTGATATATTAACTTAAAATTTACTCTAATTTTATAATTTTATTATTTATATTTTACTGTTATCACGCCTTTTTTTTAGTCTTTGGACATGCATTTTAGACGTGTCCCCATATCAATGAGTACACATTTTTAAAAATTACATAATATTAGTATTATATAATTTGTTTGAGTAATAAATAAAAATTAAAGGAAAAGTGAAAGTTTAAAAAATAGGATTTTCAATCACATGTAGTTAGTTCACTAATGAAAGAAATCATGCCCCGCATAAGTCCTCATATGTCTTGTTGTGATTTTTGAGAACTTTATGTGAGAATATCTTATGAATATTATTGTTATGCATGTAATCTAATACTTAAGACAAACAAATAACACAAAAATACCTGTATTATGATTATGTAAAGTTTTGAATACTTTGATCTTTTTAGAGATTTACGAATAAAGAAATTGGCGCTATAACTCCTATGAATAAATTAAGTGACAATGTAAACAACAAAATTTGATATAATACTGTATAAACATATTAACTATAATCCTGAAAATGATGAACATGCGAGATCTCGAGATGAAAAATTATATACAATTATGGTGCGAAATAATCATGCATATATGCTTCAACCAACCGAAAAGCACTAAACATAATGCTAAAACATGAAAGCTTGAACTGACTGATATTAATGTCACAATGAAAATTTTGTAGCAATGAAGCATGAAAATATAAAGAGAAAAATCGAGTCAAGTAAGTATTGTAAATAAGTAAGCTATATTGTTTGAGATATTTACCTAGTTTTTTTACAATTTAAGACTATTAATAATCAAGTTTGTGGGAAATTTTTCTTTCGACTAAATATCTACTCATGCTAACAATAATACAAACTACAAAAGATAAGGGAAAAATTAATATCAATCGAATCCTATAAGGGTGGACATGGAAAGTATTATACTATGTTATGTAGCTTAAATTAAGGAATGATTTATATGAGGTAGTCCTAAAGGTTATGACCTCATACATAATTTAAATAAAGGGGAGATTAAATAAGTAAAATTTAATTTAATTTCAAACTCTTAAATATTAGCTAGGAGAATAATTAAATGACTATTTTGTCTTGTATAAACTCTATTCTTAAAGGGCAAAAAAGACGAACGATATTTCGCTAAGGACCTTCGTGCATTTAATATAGTATAGATATAGATGAGAGATACCTTGATTTTTCCTTTTATTTTTTTTTAATTTCAAATTTGCTTCCCATGTCAGACTTGATTTGTGGAGTTTGGGAGAAATTAGCACATTACATTACATATGTATATAGATGTGGAACCATAATTTAAAGTTTATGGTTCTGAACTTGACACTGAACACATAGCTAGTCATAATTATTAGGTTCGTAATTAAATACAAATACATAGTCTGAACAAATGCTACTAAATTTGTTCGAACCCATAATTGCATGCATAAATGAGTCTAATGAAAGTTTTCAGTTTCATCCAAGTACAGAAGATACAACAGAATAACATTATGTGATAAATATCAAATTAGAATTCTATAAAATTGAAACTAACCATACTCATGCAATTTTCATTCTCAATAATTTGTCAAAGCAAAGGGAAACAATGTAAGTAAAGAAGAGAAGCGTTGGTTTTCTGCTATCCAAATGATAACATAAAAGACTAATTATGGTTAGTAAAAATGTAGAGCATAACACAGTAATGTAATGTTCCCAAATTGGACTATTTTATTTTTAAATCTAGCTAGTGTAACACCTAAATGCTTTTAGCATCTAATATTTATCAACTATTTTTAATCAGTTCACCCAAACATGTTGTAACTCAATTTTATGCATCACCGTGTAATAAAAGCATGCGTTCTTATTTACTAAACAAAATCTTTTATATGGACAATATAAAAAGGTGTCCCAATTAATGAAAATATACTTTACAGCATAGAAATTTATTTAAAAGGGAATGAATAGAAAAATATATTGTAGTAGTATGATATAGGAGATTCTTCATGAACGAAAAGCCTCTAAGATAGAGTACGAATTTGTTTTTAAGGTTAGACAACTTAGCTCGAATTATTTTTTTTCTGTTTATTGTGTGCGGCGAGATTAATATTATTTTAACCTACGATTAAATGGGAAGATGAAAATGAAACCTTCTATTTCACAATATCTGGACCTTATTAGTGTTGCGGAAGCCGAATATATAGAGAGTGATTAAATCACAACTACTATATTTAAAGATAGCTAATAAATAGTAAATGAGATAATAATAAAATGAACACCAGAATTTAACGAGGTTCGGCAAAATTTAATTTTTGCCTAGTCCTCGGACACAACCAACTCAATTTTATCTCACTCCAAAAATACAAGTGAAATACTACAAGAGAGAAAGAAAATTCAAATGCCTTAGGAGATAAGAAGGCAAGTGAGAGATGATTTCAAATGAACAAAATCACTGCTATTTATAGAAGTGAAATGGCCTTAATAATGTCATGCATGACATCATATTAAGTGTGAACATGCAATGTAAATGCATCTATCAATTTCTTCCTAAAATGAGACTTCAAATGTTCGCACTAGTTCACATTACAACAACAACAACCCAGTATAATCTCACTAGTGGGTCTGGGGAGGGTAGTGTGTACGTAGACCTTACCTCTACCCTGGGGTAGAGGGGCTGTTTCAACACTAGTTCACATTAATCTTTTCAAAATTCAATAAATCTCAACCTTGGCAAGATTCCACATTTGCAATTTTCTTTTACTCATAAATTTTGATTGTGTCTTCAACTTCAATCTTCAAAGTTCAACAATGTTGATTAAGTTCAAACAATGTTGAAACTTGATCGTAGTCACTACTTTTGTTAGCATATCGGCAGGGTTGTCTGTAGTCCGAATTTTCTGCACCATGACTCCACCTTCTTCTATAATATCTCGTACAAAGTGATATCGAACATCAATGTGCTTCGTCCTTGCATGATAAACTTGGTTCTTGGCTAATTGGATATCACTCTAACTATTACAAAATAGTGTGATGCTTTCTTGACCAATACCAAGATCTCTAAACAATCCTTGAAGCCAAATTGCCTCCTTTACAGCCTCCGTAATTGCCATGTACTCTGCCTCAGTAGTAGACAAAGCAACCGTTGACTGCAAAGTAGATTTTCAACTAACTGGTGTATTTGTAAAAGTGAAAACATAACCAGTAGTTGATCTACGCTTGTCCAAATCACCCGCATAATTCGAGTCACAATATCCAATAAGATACTAACTATCTTCCTACTCAAAAATCAATCCAATATCTACAGTATTACAACTATACCGTAAAATCTATTTCATATCTTGCCAATGCTCCTTTCCTGGATCATGCATATACCTGCTTACAACTCCGATAGCATGTGAAATATCAGGTCTTGTGCAAACCATTGCATACATCAAGCTACCAACAGCATTCGCATATAGCATTCTTGACATATACTCTCGTTCAGCTTCATTCTTCGGCGACATAGCAGCACTAATCTTAAAGTGAGGAGCAAGAGGAGTGCTAACCGATTTCGTATTCTCATTCATGCTAAATCGATCTATTACTTTCTTCAAGATAGATAGAGTTTCTTTGAATGTCTATCTCTTTTTATCTCCATGCCAAGAATTTTCTTCGCCTTACCCAAATCCTTCATCTCAAACTTCTTTCGTAGTTGAATCTTCGACTTCTCAATTTTCTCTTGACTTTTGGAAGCTATCAACGTATAGGAGAAGATATATGAAGGATCCATCTTCAAGCTTGCGCAATATACACACAATGATCGTATTTGCTTCTTCTGTACTTTTGCCGCAACATAAACTTATCAAAACGTTCGTACCATTGTCTAGAAAATTATTTCAATTCGTACAACGATTTTTCAAGTTTGCACACCATATTTTTCTTTTCAGCAACTTTGAATCCTTATGGCTGAGTCATATAGATTTTCTCTTCCAAGTCTCCATGTAAAAATACAGTTTTTATATCTAACTGAACTAGTTATAAATTCAATTGTGCTACCAAAGTCAACAAAACTCTAATGGATGAGTGTTTCACGACCGGAGAAAATACCTCATTGTAATCAATTCCCTCATTTTGAGTGTACCCTTAGGCCACCAATCTTGCTTTGTAGCGAACCTCTTCTTGGTTAGGAAATCCTTTTTTCTTTACAAATACCCATTTGCACCCAATTGCCTTCTTGCCCTTCGGGAGATTGGCCAATTTCTATGTGCAATTCTGATGAAGGGACTGCATTTCTTCATTCATGGAAATCCTCCACTTATCTTTTTCTTAACTTCGGACTGCGTCTTTATAATTGGTAGGAACACCATTGGCTACAATTGAGACTATACCAGCCACCGTCTCTATGAGACGAACATGTTTCTTTATTGTTCTTTTTGGTTTGCTGGTTGCTATTGATTCAAGTTGTTGTTGGGGTTCCTGAGTTAAAATCTCCCATTCCACTGACTCTTCTTCCAGGGAAAAATCTTATATCGTTTCCTCGTTTTCTCCCTGTGTTGGGAAAATTAATTTTTCCTCAAACTCCACCTACTTTGAAGCACCATCAGTTTGTTTGACATATTCAACTGTCACCTTATCTATTATGTCATATTCATCAAAGGTAACATCTCTACTGAATATAATTTTTCTTGTCTCTAGACACCATAATCAGTATCCTTTGA